CCCCTCCCTCCTGTTCACTCGTCCGCCCCTGCGCGGCGAGTTCCTGGAAACCCAGCGCATTGGCACAGGGGATGGCGAGGGGTGGGGGCTGGGCGCCCAGGCGGTTTATGCTTCCAGGAAGTCAGGACCACTCAGAGGGAAGGGTTAAGGTTATGCCCCGTTGGCGCCAGGCGGCGCTGGCGGTGGCGTAGCTGCTGTAGCGTTGTTACACGGCCGCCACTTTTACGTCTTCTCGTACTTGTCGTACCCTGGGCAAGTTGCCAGAAATACAAGAAGTTGGAATGGACATCCTCCCTCCCCTCCCCGCCCACCACCCTCGCTCTCTTTGAGCAGGAAGGTGCAGAAACGGGGGAGGGAGAGGAGAAGACGAGGGGAAAACAATATCTGAAAGCAAGGCAGCCGACACACACGACGAGACTACCTTTTGAACTGGGGAGTGAACTCGGGCGTAAAGAGAATAAAATATACGCCCTACGCCTTTGCACATCCCCCTCGCTAGTGCGCGGCAGTGCCGCCCCCCTGGCCCCGCTCCACCCGCTCCGCCTCGCTCGGCTCCGTTCTTCTGCTGCCGCGCTCTCCGGGCGAGCGGGGGAGGGGGGTGGGGAGTAGGAAGGCGAGGCGTCGCCCGGGCGGAAGTTCAAGGGCGCGCAAATACCAGCGCGGCGCGGAGAGAGGAGCCTGAGGCCTGTAGGGCAGGGGGAGGGGAGGGAGGGGGGGGTTGTTGTACGGGGAGGACGTTCGACTTTTAGCGCGAGGTCAATGACCGCCGCGTCCTGTTCCTGTACACTTCTTCCACCGCTGGCCAGCGCCCGCCCCCGCGCGGCCGGAGGCTGTGGCGAATGCGGGCGCATGTTGTTATCGGCGAGGAGGAGCAGGACACCATGCAGATGTGTCGCGGTTGCGTGCGGTCAGTCGCCGTCAGAGCCGAGAGGGTGATTGAGGAGGGTGCCGATTGGACGACAGTGGCGGCGCGCGGAGGGCCCGGAGGGGGGCAGTGCGAGCGTCACCGTGACGTCACTGCACCCCCAAGGTCAGCCCCCCGCGCCACTCGGAACGAGCCCCCCTGCGGGACCGCGCAGGGCGGGGCGGGGTGCGGAGAGTAGACGAGCGCGGAGGGGCATTTGATACTCCCTCCCTCCCTCCCCGCCCGCCGGGTCAAAGGGACCAACTTGCTGCTCTCAATGGGTTTTCTCACCCGCGCCCGCCCATCCCTTCCCTGCCCCGCCCCCGCCTCTTTCATTCAGCCCCCTCTCACCCCCTCTCCCCTCCCTCGGCGGCGCTACCCCCCGGCGGCCAGCAGAGGACGCAGGTGAAGGTCGCGAGCGGGGCGCGCAACACTGAGCAGGCGCTGGCGCTGGCGCTGCGGGCTGCGGGCGGGGCCCCCGCCGCGTCCTGGCGCACCCTCGCCGAGGCCACCGCCGAGGCCGGGCCGGGCCGGGCCGCCGTGTCCCACCATACCGTCTGCAGCGGGCCCGGGGGCCGGGGAATTCCACCGCTATCATAGTTAAATCGATGGCGAGCGTATGCGTCGATCCCGCGCAGGCCGCCGCCCGAGAAGACACCGCATTCGCGCATCCTGGAGGAAGCAACAGACACTGCCGGCGCCCTGTGCCCCGACTTTAGGGAATTGTATGAAAAAAAGTATACCAAACACAAATGTCTATCTACAAAGACCGAAATACGAGATTATTATTTTCATTTAATACCCCAACCCAGCCCGTGGCGGGAGTTTCAAAGTTCGGTTGTCTCTCTCGCCCCCCTCGCGCCCCGGGGTCCCGCGCGGTCACCTTGACCTCCGGCAGGTCCCAGCGCCCCTCTCCCGGCCCGCTGCCGCCCGCTGCTGTGGTTCCGCCGGCGCCCCCGCAGCCCATTGGTCCACGGCCACCCCCTGCCCCATACTCCCTGCAACCCCCTCCATGTTTGCCCTTGAAAGTCCTTTCCCTCTGCCTCGGTCCTCCTTTCCCCTTCCGCACGGCAGGTCGCGGCTTCCTGCGTCGTTCTGCTGCTGCCACCATCAACGTCACCATCATCAACAGCATCATCACCATCGCAGCTTCACCATCGCAGCTTCATCAACGTCCCTTGTTTTTATGTCCGCGAATACGGCTGCCAAAAAAAAAAAAAAAAAATCCAGGCGAAAAATCACCCATGGCCAATGAGGGGTCACCATGGCGGCGACGGCCGAAAAAGAACATCTCGTGCCATACGTAATGAACCTCAAGATGTTTGGGGGCTTCCACTTCCCATGCTGCAGTGTGTCCCAAGTGAGAATTTCAGTCTGGGACTGCCGCAGGGTCCGCAGGGGGGCGCGACGACGCATCCCTCTGTTGACGGGCCGCCGCGGCGCCGGCGGCGGGGCAGGTCACTTCCGGGGGAACTGCGCAGCACGGCCCTCGCCCCGGCCTCCGCCCAGCCTCCCCGTGGCGCCACCTGTAGGGGGGTGCGGCGAGCTCGGCCCGGGTCGGAGGGGTGTGACCCTCGGCCTCGGCGTGGGGTAGCGCGGATCGCGTGGCCTGCAGCAGCCGTGGGGTAGTGCCGCCGGAGTGTCAGTGGACGCCCGGCGTGGAGGCAACCCTTCCGACTCGCCGGCCCGACGGGCGTCCGGTGTCCCTGGCGCTATGGGGCTGTCAAAATAAGATACGGTTTGGCCGACCGACCGACCGCCAAACTCGGAACGACCAAGACGGCTGAAATATCCTGTTCGGTGGTTTTCACGCACGCTGAGTCCAAATCTGGTATAGTGCCGATGTCGTCCGGTCCCCCGGGGACGTCATGGGGGACCACCCGAGCACGCCGATGACACTCCCACGACAAATACGATTCGGCTCCAAACGTCGTGTACCTGGGCTGGTGCATATTTCTTAAAAGTCGCCAAATAATTATTATTAATAGAAAATCGCCCATATAATAGTTTATTATCCTGATCATTTCACTATTGTCACATGGCACTTCCCTGTCGTTGCCGCCTGGAGCCATATACAACGATGCACGGGACGGGAAGCATCCCCAAAGGATCACATCCTGGACTAGCGAGGCGGGATTGCCTACCCCAGGAAAGAATAACATCCCGCGACCACGATATGCCGGCGAGTGTTCCGTACGTTCCGTAATTATTGCTCTCCCCCTTTGCCGTGCCGCGTCCCCTACCCCTTCTCCTCCTCCCCACCGCGCCCCGCGCCTTTATGGAAACGTAAACAAACACTGAAAATCGGCCAAATACCGATAATACCTACTCATATAATTGATGGTGATAGGATTTTAACCAGAATTTTAGAGTGGATATCGCCGCTGTTCGATATTAATCGTAAGGTATAGTGCTTGATTGTTTCCGGTCCGGAATATTGAATTGTTCCATTCCGGTTATTGTTGTAGGAGGTTAGTGTTCTCCTGTGCCTCAATGTTTACACGCACAATTAAGTTGAAAGTTATGTTTTGAGGCCGAGTAAATGATGCCCCGTGATGTAAAGAACTTGGCTCACTGTCAGCTTTGTTGAAAAGGTGTTGAATGGGTAGACTCCTCCAATCCATGCAGTATGTTAAATACTGTTGTAGGTCACTTATGCAAATGGGTGAACTGCCAGTGTTTTATCA